ATTTTCTTCTCTGAAAACAAAATGTTGTATCAGGTAGCAGCGTGCTACAGCTTCATCTGCTGTACGGCAAGTCCGATGCTGTCAAATGCATGACAACGAGGACATCCCAGAGAGAAGGGGTTGGTTAGAACTGTTGGGACAAAACAGAATTAGTGATTGCCCAGGTTAAGTACCTTGGAATATCTGGGATTTCAGGAGAATTTTTTTTTCTTTAAATACTAATATTTAGGCAGCTGTTAATTATAATTCTTTGGCTATAATATTGTGTTTACAAGCAGGTTTAAAGAGACAGAGAAATAGTGATTGATGCTATGCTATTTTTTCTTTTTCCTTTTGGCAAGTAGTCAGGCATAAAGCTAGTTTTCCCCAGAGTTGGAAAAATGAAAACAAAATTACTAGTCATATCTGTTTCCACAGGTCTGATGCTTGGTGGTCAGTACTTAGGTAGTAGGTGTGGAACTTGCCGCCCAGAGCATTACACACAACTACAGAAGAAGCTCCTGAAGCTGTTCAGAGGACATGATCACCACCCTAGTTTTCTTCCTAACTGTTTCACTTAAATTAATATACTGCCAATAAAATCAGATTGCCATAGATCAGGGCTGGTTTCGTGGGCTGCTGACCTATGAGGTCAAAGCCCGATGCTTAGAAGTGCCTGAGCTTAGTTCAATGTTCCTCTTTCATCATCTTGAAATTCTTAATCATTTCTCAACAAGGGGCCCTGAATTTTCATTTTGCTCTGGGCCCTGCAAATTACGTAGCTGGTCCTACCTGAGATTTAGATGTGCTCTACTGTGGGATTTTATCTCCAATCAAAACAGAATGTAGTCATTGAGATGCTAGTTTACTATTCAATAATTATTCTCTCAACAAGTATTTTTTGAATATGTTAAGTACTGTGACATGTATCAGGGACACAGTGGTAAAAAGGAAGTTGTTGTCTCTGTCCATTAAAAAGCATTACCTACTATTTGAGGAAAAGGGGCAAGAAAAAAGGATTTTACAATAAAACGTAATAAGTACCATGAGAGCACAGATACTCTGGGAGCATGTTGTAAAGTTATCTAAAAGTAAAATCCCCTTACAAAAATTTCCACATTTTGTTATACTGATGGTCAAACCAGGTCCTCTATTTTTCTAAAGTGATGTGTAACATATCTGTTTCAGTGTAACATTAGAATTACACTTTCTGCTATAACCAGCATTGTTAGGGTTTCAATTTAGCACCCGAGGTTTTCATTAACTTCTAAGGGGATGGGAAAGGAAGACAAATCGCTCTATTCTTACTAATTCAATGCTGGTGAAACGCAGTGATGCGCAACTTTTAATTAATTATTTTGGAAACTGTTTCCCTGGAGTTAAGAGACACATAGGCTCTTAACCATACCTGCCGCTAAAGAGGACATGATTAATTCATTTTTTTTTCCTCCGTGGTCCTAATTATTGAGTTAATCCTTTTCTCCTCTCCTCTACCCCTAAGCCCACATTAGGAGGCCCACGTATAAAGGAGTGGTGACCCAAAGCGAAAGGAGGCCATAGCTGGCGTCTGAATTGTTCTGTACAGGATGGGGGATGCGTGTAGGAATAAGTGATGTGAAAAGGCCTTTTATTGACGAGCTGCCACGCGCCGTCTGCATTAGTGAATCTGAGAAGGCCATGGCGGCTGCTGCTTGGTCCCCATGGTACGCAGCTCAGTGCCATGGCAGAAAACGCTTCAGTTTACTTAGAGCATTGATAACTCTTCTAAATAATTAACCGAGGACTTCCTGTCTTCAATTACTTAATGCTTTTTTTAACATCTTGAGAGGATTATGAGCAATTTATGGATTTCACATGATGAGTGCATTCGCCACTATTCCCACAAAGCATTTACGGGATCATGTTTCTAAAGCCTTGAGGTAATTAAAAATAAGCATGGAGACAATGGGGCTGAGCCAAGGTGCTCCCTTTCCCGTCTGTCATTTCTTAGGACCTAGATTTTCAGGCTTCAGGACGACTAGTGCTACAGCTTCATTAGTGCTCTGTTGCTTAGGGAATGCCAAGGTTTTGGAAATGATGAGAAAACCAAAACATTTATCTTAGGGGGGTCAGGCAGCTCTTCGATCAAACATCTGAGATGGAATGAGAAATAAATTTGATTATTTTAGTTCACTCCATGAACTCAATAGAACAGTCATTCACATCGTAAAATATACTGTATGTGGTCAGTCAGCTAAACCATGGAACTGAATTTTCCCTGGCAGATAAAATGTGTGACATTATATAGGTTTCAGGTTTTAAATTATCTAATGCCTAGCACCATTCCTGTCCCATAGGAACTTCATGCAGGAGACTCTGAACTTGAAAAGGTTTTGCTGAAAGAGGGTTTATTTCCTCATTCAACAAAGAAACCCCTCTGTAGGGCTGTATTACCCGAGTGAAATACTCTCTAAATCTATTTAAAACAGAACAGAGTGATGAACCAAGTGGCTGCTAGAGGCTTTTTCCCTTTTATGATTTTGTAAAAATTAAAATTATGGGGAAAACTTTAAAATATTTATTCTAATAAGAGGGATTTCTGGCACCACAGTGTGTGCATAAAATCCTCCCTGACATAAAAATATCTATTAAAAATGACATGAGAGGATAAACTGGGAGAGCAAAGGTATTTAAAAAAAAATCTGCACAATTATTTTATAATTAACGAGGTTATCAATCCTGTTGGTTTGAACATTGCAATTGAATTTGGTCTGTTGGCGTACAAATGCGGCTTCCAAACATCACAAACTAATACAACCAGCAATGATTCAAAGCCAGTGGTTGGTTAGGAAGATAGATCCTATAAGAAGAAGAAATTTCTTTAGCTAACTCAAAGTATTATGAAACCTTTTCTGGTGCAATCTTAATGTGCCTTCACTTGGCTTCCAAAGCTCTGTAATTAACATCCCATGTATACTCCAAGTCGTTCTTTTGATTTCTACCTCTGCATCCTGGACTGTGTTCTGTGGTAGCACTAGTAAGCACTGTGTTTGCGGTTATTCCTTTACTTGCTGGTTTCCCCATTGCTGATAGCATCTTAAGAGCAGCAATCTTATTTTAGAGCACTACCTAGAACACAGCAAGTGAGCAAATCACTTTTTAGAATGAAATGGGATTCTGATTTCCTTACAGATGGAGATAGTGCCTTGGACACCCTGAGTAGATCAGTTTTTTTCTTCATCTTTCAAATGTGGTTATTAAAAACACCCCTCACGTGTGATGAGAATCAACTAAGTCAGAATGCAAATGGTTCTTTAACATGATAAAGCTCCATATAATGGTAAGAT